TTTCCTCCATTCCTGTATTTAATCTGTTTGCAGGGTTTCATTTTTTAAATCTTTTTGACAAGTTGTTTTACTATAGTTTATGTCAGACAGCCACTGCCATATCACCATGCAGCCCAAGACCGCTTACTCACTGAAGCTAAGCAGGGCTGAGCCTGGTCAGTACCTGGATGGGAGATCACATGGGAAAACTTGGTTGCTGTTTAAACTAATGTTAGTGAAGCCAGCAGGGGGCGCTCAACCTGTGGTCTGTGTGATTCCTAATGCCTCAGTAAAAGTGAAGGGGGCACTATACTGTCAGTGAGCGCCGGATGAGACGTTAACTGATGAGACATCCTGACTCTCTGTGGTCATTAAAAATCACATGGCACGTCTCGTAAAGAGTAGGGGTGTAACCCCAGTGTCCTGGCCAAAGTCCCTTAATCATCCCCATCCACCAAATTGGCTCTATCACTGTCTCTCCACTCCACCAATAGCTGGTGTGTAGTGAGCGCACTGGCGTCGTTGTCCTGTGGCTGCCGTCGTATCATCCAAGTGGATGCTGCACACTGGTGGAGGTGTGAAGAAACCCCCCCTCATGATTCATACATTCCAGAAAAATTCTCATTTGGCCATTATATATCGTTTACGTGGCAGATGTTGCACTCTCTCTCTTTCGCTCTCTCTCGCTCGCTAGCATGTTTGAATACTTGTGCTATATGACAATATAAAAGCTTTCTTTTGTTGTTCTAGTATATGAAATGTAAGGTTTGGGACTCTGCTAAAGTCTGTTCTGAAATGAAAGCATCAGTGTTGACATCATTCGCTACAGTTTTTAATCACGTGCGACTCGCATTGACAGGGGAAAATTTGATTTACTTGCTTACACTGCAGACATGAGGCCATGGATCCAATTTATATCGGATAAATTTCCACATATGAACAAGACCTGAATCTGATTCAAGTAAATCAGAATCCATGTGATTTGTTTCCTGCTTACATGGACATGACCTGAATCCGATCTGTGCGACACAAAAGAAAAAAATCTGAATTGGCTCACTTGAAGCATGCTGTGTAAATGCAGCCTTGGAGCGAAATCTCAAACCAACAGGGGGTCAGATATTTTTTACTTCTTCTGCCAAAAAAGTGACATTTTTATATTTTAATGAACTCCTCCTAGAGATTTTATCAGATCAACACCAAAATTGGGTATTGTGATCTCAAGGCCTTGGCAATGTTAAATTGCGATGATCTACAGTTTTTGTTAAAGGGCGTGTCTGTGGCGGCCTCACAAACTTTGATGTTTTGCCACGAAACAGGAAGTTGTTTTAACTCAGCCACACAATGTCTGATCTGCATGACTATTCACATTTTCCATGAGATTCCTCTTCTGAAGACAACTACAATCCGATAATGAGTAATTCATAGCGCCACCTGCTGACAGATGAAAGTTTGGCAAAAATCTGTGATTTTTCTCAGGTTTTTTATATTTATCAGCTTAAATTATTGTTGTCCGCTGTTCTGTCATACTAAGGCCACCAGGCAGCGGTGAGCCTGGGTGTGAGGTCACTTTCTTCACTGCTTGCAGCATTAACCTTTATTCTGCTATCCTCACATAAATGTAGCATAGTGTCCTGCATCCACGTATAATATTATCAAAAATTATATCCAAGTGTCAAAGTCCTTTTTGATTTGACTTTATGCCCATATCTATGACTTTTCACAGTCACAACACGTTATGGGAAATTTAAAACAGCCGCCCAACACACAAGAAGCAACTAATTTCTGTTGAAATGCTGCCACAAGAACCATATTTTTCAAGAGCCGGGGTTGTTTGTTTACAGTGACATGAGAGAGAGCAAATAATGACAGAATGTTCAATTTGGAGTGAACTAATCCCTTCATTTGTAACAATATGCGCTGTAAAGATCAGTGGGACATCGATTACATCTTTGCTTTCTTAGTCACAGTACTTGGCATCATAATGACAGCGGATTACGGCTCCCTGGGCACATCTTGCACCGTTCTCTTGAATTGTCCTCGTTGTGGTTTCAGGTCTCTGAATCCTCTAAAGCAGCATATGTAGCCAGCGTTGCATGGCTAAATGTCGTTGGCGCGCTTAAAAATCGATCTGTAATGCGTATCTCTCAACATTGGCCCACCTTGTTGCGAGTCTTGTGTGCTGTAACCATAGCAGAATGCGGATGGGTCATTCTCCATCTGCTAAAACCCAACAGGACACTCTTTACACCTGCATGGCATTGTTACGAGACAGCGATAGGGATGTAAAAATGAAGGGTAGCTCTTTGAACAAATGTTGAATGTTTCGACGGTGTTAGTGTGTACGCTGAACATCGCCAGTTAGTGTTTGCAACAGCTGCAGTTTGAATGTGAATACAGGCTCTTGGAAGCTCGCTTGTCTTTTCCTCTGAGGCCAAACTGTGCAGTGATTCCTGACTGCAGACAATCAGGCTGGAGAGAGAGACAGCCACGCAATACAGATCAGCCAATCAATGAGGCAAATTCTCCTAAACCTTTGTGTCCTGTATTCATTATCATTCATTTGCAGCCGCTGGACTGGCATCGGTACATCAGAACAGCAATTCTTCATCATGGAGCCTGCTGTTCTTGCTATTGCTGAGTAGACACTGCCCCCTGGTGCTGGCAATCGGCACATATCTCTGCAGCAACAGATTCCACTGAACAGACTGGGACCGTTCGGAGTTATTTATAGGGTGTTACACAGATCTCAGTGGCTCAATTAATGTGTAAGAATGAAACAGGCTGATATTAAATTTCCATCCATAACACAGTCCATTTCTGTAATGCGACACACAATAAAATTGTGCATAATCGTGCATATATTTAGGCCAGTAGTAAATGTCCAGGCGTGGAGTGCAGCACTTCAGTTATCTAATGAAGCTTGATATTTGTCTTACTTTAGCAGACTTGAAGCAGGGAAGCTATTTCTGAGCAAATAGATGATTTTTCTGTTAAGGGATGTTTTCTGTCTCCTGTTATTTTGTAGAAAAGTACTTCTGATTTAGATGGTAGGGTATAATCGATTTTTCTATTTAATTACTTTTTTCCATTCTTTTTAGTGCTTCTGGATTTGAGCTCTGCTTTCATTTTTGTGGACAATTGGATTGTCTTATCTTGTCAAGTTTGAATTAGAAGCACTGTTTCAAATTTGTATTTAAAAAATCTTTCATAAAGATATGGAACTTTTTCTGTTAGTCGTGGCAAGAATTTCATTCGGGCTCAGTTTTGGTGCTGATGCTATTCTTATACATATGTATTACACATACATATTATATATGTATTATATCTTATATTTTCTACCTATTAGGTCAATTTAAAATCTGATGTGTCATATCACTGCTAAGCACACTATTCTGCACACCAATAAAGTGAAATTATAATTCAACTAAAAAGGGACTTGCAGTCTGTCTTCATTAACTAAAATTAGAGATGCTATGCACCTAAACTGAAATTATCATCTTCATACAAAAAAAAAGCATTACAGATAGGACTTGAATGAATGAATAAATAAATAAATAAATAAAATCTGGAATTAGAATTTGTCCTTAAATGTCTTTTTGTTTTACATTTGTAATGTTTACAAGTACACTATCTGACAAACGTTGTGAGAGCAACAAATAACAACTTAGTAGATCATTTAGAGATGTCAAAATGTAGATTTTTCTGATGAGTCATCTGTTGAACTGCATCTCAATCATCACAAATACTGCAGAAGACCCAGCATTGAACCAAGATTTTCATTGAAATCAGTCAAGTTTGGTGAAGGAAAAATCATGGTTTGGGGTTACATTCAGTATGGGGACATGAGAGAGATCTGCAGAGTGGATGGCAACATCAACAGCCTGAGGTATCAAGACATTTTGTGCTGCCCATCACATTACAAACGAGGAGAGGGCAAATTCTTTAGCAGGATAGCGCTCCTTATGCTTCAGCTTCCACATCAAAGTTCCTAAAAGCAAAAAAAGGTCAAGGTGCTCCAGGACTGGCCAGCCCAGTCACCAGACATGAACATTATTGAGCATATCTGGGGTAAGGTGAAGGAGGAGGCATTGAAAATGAATCAAAAGAATCTTGATGAACTCTGGTAGTCCTGCAAGAACGCTTTCTTTGCCATTCCAGATGACTTTATTAATAAGTTATTTGAGTCATTGCAGAGATGTATGGATGCAGTTGTCCAAGCTCATGGGAGTCATACACAGTATTATTTCCTTTTTCACAGCACCATGACTTTATATGCTATTTTGTACATTATTTCTGTTAAGTGACAATACTTTTGTCTAAGCAAAGTCAAAGCTTACTGTCCTAATTAAATAATTAAAAATAAAGGCATAATCATATTTTATTTTGCTAAAATAAGTGTAACCTAGAGGTCTTTGCTTTTCATATAAGCCACTTCTGATACCAACTGATCAACTAGAAGTCATGTTATTATTTGTTGTTCCTAAAACTTGGAAAAGCGACAAGACTTTTGTCAGGTAGTGTGGCGTTTTAAAATCATTATTTTATTTAAAATCAAGTTAGTGTTTTAAAATCATTAAAATACATGTTTGAACATTTACACCAATCTTTTTTTTCAATTAAAGAATATATTTTTATATTAGTACAATACATCATATATTATTTATTAGAGCCTCGCTAAGAACAGTTGATGCAGCCCTGAAAGTTTGCTGACGTCTTTAATTCTCTGATTAGGAATTATTTTATAATATTTAATAATCAGAAACAAAACTATTTCTTCATTACTTACATAATGTAACTGCTTTTGTTAAGTTCCAAATGTCAAAAATATTTACACACAGTATCAGAAATCCAGTTTAGATCCCATATCCAGTCAAAATCCTCTTAAGGATCAGTTTTTACCTAAAATATGCTGCTTTGAATTCTTTTTTGTTTTTAATCCAGGATAAATGTTGTGACAGACAGTCTGAAAAGCATCTCCAACTCCAGAATCCTACATGTATGTATTTTGTTGCTGTGTGCAGGATCTTGGAGCTTCAGCAGAATGGAGACATGGACATCCTGAAGCTAAAGTGGTGGCCGAGGGACAGTCCGTGTGACCTGTACTCTCCTGTGGGCACTCGGAAAAGTGGCAGCGCCCTGGACATCCACAGTTTTGCAGGAGTCTTCTTTGTACTAGCGGCCGGTGTGGTTTTGTCCTGTCTCATTGCCACAGTGGAGACCTGGTGGACACGAAGAAAGGGCTCCAGAGTCCCATCGAAGGAGGTGAGAGTCGATCATAAACCTCTGTCATAAACACAATAGTGGCACACGATTCAATACAATAACTATAGAGATTTTCCAGGTGCCAGAGAACAGATGGAATTCCACATCAGTCTTAAAATCCCTCTTCATGCTGGACACTGAAAAATATAACCGCATAAATGGGTGGTATGACGGACTCTTGAACTTATAACTTCTGATTTAGGCAGATATTTCAATTAAAATCAAAAGATAAAGAATGTAAATTAAGATTACATATGAATGTAAATATTAATTACGTTGTAATAATTAATTACGAATACTAACTACTGGATAATGCCACTGATAATAACCACATGCTATATCAGATGATCTAATGATAAATTATAATAATAATAATCTCATTTTTATATTATATTTATTAATTGAAACTAAGTGGCTGCAAATAAAAGTATAACAATTATAAATTATTAAAAAGATAATTGTCACATTTAAAGTTGTAAAACTGGATTTGCACAAATCATTTTATAATACTGCAATGCTGCAGTGTTACTCAGCAACCATAATCATTGTTTTCTTAGCATAACAGACAAACTATAAAGGGTTTACCCAAAGTCAACATTACTTGCCCTTATGTTTATCCAAATCTATATGAGATTGTTTCTTCTATCGAACGCAAAAGAAGATGTTTTGAAGAATGTTGCCAACCAAACAGTTCACAGTACACATGGACTTCCATAGTACAGCAGGGGAAAAAGTAAATAATTGCAGCTAACTTTCTGGTCACCAATATTTTTCAAAATAGCTCAACAGAAGTTCAACAAAATATATTTTGAACTTAATTATAAACTAACAATATTCCTCTAGATTTGTTGAAGATGTTTCATTTTAAATGCTGTTTCTTAGTCACTATCAACTGTAAATAAACATAAAAATGTGCAATGACAGCCACACTGACAACAAACAGAAAAGCAGAATCTCCAACAGTCATGGATGTCATACCACCCAGCAGTAAAAGTACATTTAGTACATTAAGAACAACAAAAAAAGTTCTTCAAATGAAAAATATTCCACTGTACAAACAGCAGACAAAGCAGTTTTTTTTCTGATAATGCACATAAACAAACGAACCTACCCATAAAGAACACAGTGTTGTTCAATTGCCTGCCAAACACATTAATAAATAGATGAAATAAATAAATAAGTAAGCCGATGCTAGAAAATATTTATATCCTGATAAAAGCTAGATAGATCTAGGCAATTATGTAAAGACAAGGCTCTAATTTCCCCTAAAGGGATAATTCACTCAAAAATGTAAATTCTCAATTACTCAATCTAAGCATATTCCAAATCTTCTGTTGAACACTAAGGCAGATTTACTGAATAATGTTGGAAAAACAGCCAATAACTTCAAATTAGTTTTTTATTATTTATTTATGTAATTTACTAAATGTTACTATCACTGAAAATGCACAAAAGCACGCACACCACTCTAAATGGGTGCTCACACAAAAAAAAAAAATCCTGGTTGCCTTAAATTTTTAAGCTAAATCAAATCCTTATGAGTCCATTGAAGTTATGTTAAACTGACTTAAAACAGCTTGTATGACTTATAAAATTAAGTTAGAACATGATTAGCTTAGATAAATAAGTTACAATGAATTAAAAACATATGCTGTCATGACAAATGGTTCATATAATTGTTTACAGTGCAGCGATACACCCAAAAGTGCAAAAATAAATAAGGCAGCAACACCAAAGCTCCAAAAATGTATTCAATTTAAAAGGCTAACATAAAGTGAGTAATGTTTCAAGCACACCTTGAAACATTCCACACTTTGTGCTAGCCTTTTTAATTCAATAAATTGGTATTTTTGAAGCTTTGGTGTTGCTGAATATGTGGATGAGTTAAATTGAAACGTTTTGGGTAGGTGGGATTATTAATGGTTAGTGCCAATCAAAGCTGCATCTATTAAAAAAAATACAAAAAATACAGACTATAATTTAATAAATAATAAAAGTTTTAAATATATATTTTAAATGTCATTTTGGAGGGTTTAATAAAGGTACACTATTTGTACTGAATAAACACAGTGATAATTTAGTATTGATTATTCCTACTATGGATGCATTTATGGCTGTTTTTCTCCAACATTCTACAGAATATCTTGGGTGTTTTTTTTTTTTTTTCAACTGACGAAAGAAATTCAGAGAAAGTTTTAAAACACTAAAGTGCATGTAAACAATGAGGAGTTTTTTATTTCTGCGTGAACTATCCCTTTATTATGTGAACAACTGTCTAGACCAAAGATGCCCAAACTAGGGCATGCGGGTCACAGTTGGCCCATGGTAAGCTTTAATTTGGCCCACCATCCCCTCTGAGAAGAGAGTGAGAATGATGGGAAGGGTCGGAGCGAATGCCTTTAACTAAGATAATAATTTCTAACTTAACGTAACGTTGGTTTGTTTTATTGCTAAGAAAAGCAAACTGAAATCAAATGATTCAATTACAGGTTTGTAAATGAATTAGATTTTTTGTAGAAATACAAAAATACTGTCACTTGACGGATAGAGGAAAATGCAGAAGACATCAGCATGCAAATCAAGGCAAAAACAGGAGCAGCTTGCCAAGTGTAACCTCATTCTGTTATAAATGAGATTGTTTTTAACTGTAATAAGTTCGTTATAATATTAAAAAATATATAAACTGTGTTAGATAAAATAAAATAAAGCAATGTTTTCTAGTTAGTTTACATATTAAATAAATTAGGAAATTACCCATGGCAAATTTAATGGAATAGAGTTTGGTATATTTACCCCACCACACACAATCAAGTTTGGTTTTTGGCCCTTCATAAGACAAAGTTTGGGCACCCCTGGTCTAGACTAATGTGTTTGCACATATTGTTTTTCCTGTTCAAACAACTGTTGGGCAGTGGCTCTTTTGCATAAAGGTAGCCCTAATTAACAAATTGCTTGCATTTCACATGACAACACCCGTAAAAGTGACATTCATACGTCTGTGACTGAACCAGTGTGATGTTGCTTTTTGATGTAATGAGTTTATAGCATTGTTCTCTTATCTGCAGCTGTCATATTGTGGGTGTTTCTTCTCCTGAAAAAACCCATCCCCATCTCCCTCATTTCTCCAATCGAGTTCCATCACAAACCCCAACATACACACCTTGACCCTCTTCGCTCCGTCTCATCAGACTCTCCACGGGCCAAAAAACATCACATTTCATCTCCAGCGTTCCACCTGAAAAACAAACTGCGTAGGGCTTTTGATCAGCGGTCAGGGGCTTATTCTTGTCTTCCGTCCTCCTGCCATGAAGCAGCTTTTATGTGTTCATGACCCCACAGAGAGAGACAGAGAGACGGAGAGCGGCTGTCCTTCATCCTCACTCCTCTGAAGGCCACTGTCCACTTCACTGCTCACTAGCAGGGCCAAATTACTCTTGATGCATTTCTTTTGCACTAGTTTGAGTCCTGGTAGCTAAGTAGAATTCAAAATTGTGTTTTGTTTCATTGTAGAATTATATAAATAGAAGGTTTAAGATAGACGAATAGTTGATTTGACATATTTGTACATATGAACAAGGTCCAAATTAACACTGAATTAAAAATGGCTTGGAACTTTATTGGGACACCATGAGGTGTAAATTGAATTGTGATAATAATCTTTTTTTAATCAAAAGTTACTATCAATCAAAAGATTGGAGTAGATGGAGGTATCCATGGTTTGTATTTATTTCAAACTAGCATACTATAAAACAAATTATTAATTTCAATGTGAGTGTGTATGGGTGTTTCCCAGTACTGGGTTGCAGCTGGAAGGGCATCCGCTGCAAAAAAAAAAAACATATGCTGTGGCGACCTCTGAAATAGAGACTAAACCGAAGGAAAATAATTTAATGAAAAATTTGAATGCAGAATCTATTCTAATATACTTTCAAATATGATGTTTTAAATGGCTTAACAATGGTATGCTATTTTTACTGAATTAACACAATGTTGTTTTAAGAACTTTGTGTGTTAAACTAAATATTTGAATGGCTTTATTTTAACATTTTCATATTGGTTATTAAATAATAAATTCCAGAATGATTAAGTTTATTCCAGTCGATACTATACGCAAAACTTCAACATATATAAAAGTATAGGCATATAGAGATTAAAAAAACTAATTATGAAAGTTCAATGTGCAAATAATTACATTTTAGCAATGAATCAGTGAAGAAATAATCATTTGTTTTTATAATTAGATGTGCAATTTATGTTTGCATACTTTTTAAATTAGAATTTGGATTACAATCTCTAAAAATAAACCACAAATATCAATTAGCTTAGATTTTTTTACCTTACACTGTAAAACCCAACAATCAACTTTATCAAATGAAATGAGTATAGTTAACTCAAAAAGTTCACAGTACTCATTTAGATTAGTTTTGAACTCAAATGGTTTGTGGCAATTGGTTTCCTCAAACGGTTTGGGTTGCCTTAACTGATTGGATGTTACAGTAATCAGTTTGTTTGAGTTCTCTTCATTTGATGGGTTTTACTGTGTTCAAATTGCTTTGTTTACTCAAATGGATTAAGTTCACTGTACTCAATAGGATTAGCTTTTGAACTTAAATGGTTTGTTGCAACGGATTCTTTAAATGGTTTGAGTTACCTTAACTTTTTTGATTTTACAGTGTATAGAAATTGTACTATATATCATTTATAATGATCTAATGTTACATTATTAAAAATATGTCATTTATATACACTGAAAAAATGATTTCTGCAAAATTGTTGCAAACAATTAGTATGGGTTGAATTAAAACCAATTAAATTTAGTAATGTTCAACTTTGTTTAAATGCACGTGTTTATAACCACTTAACATAAAAAGAAATTGTTAATCTAAGGAATCCTTTTTGAAGCATTTTTCAGTGTAAAGACAGAGAATGAATATTAATATTTTTGCAGAAACTGTAAGCGAACATACTTTAATCAACTAAGTTCAAAAGAACATTATTTG